GTGCCCAGAACATCGGCACGGCACCATTCTTAACTACGTATTGTGTACATACTAGCATGTTAGCTTTGAGTCACTAATTATTTATATATTTCATCTTTCATTTCTTTGCTTCAAGTAGGACTAATTTCATGTTTAAGTGTCTGATATTTACTTTTTTTTATATTAATAAATTTTTTTATCTTATTAAGTTATCATCGATTTTTCTATATTTTAATTTCAATAAGGAGGAACCAGCCTTATCAAAATTCTTTGATGGTCTGATAGGGCTGTTGAACCTTCACAAGGGTTAGTGGAGGTAGGGGAAAGTGCAAGAACAAAATTTCAATAAAAGTTGATACAACTGGTTAGTTGCTGTTTAAAAATCAAAGATAGTATGTCAAAGATAATGTCAAAGATAGTGTGTCAAAGTGTGTCAAAGATAGCATGTCAAAGACAGTGTGTCAAAGATAGTGTGTCAAAGATAGTGTGTCAAAGATAGTGTGTCAATGATTGTGTGTGTCAATGATAGTGTGTCAAAGATAATGTGTCCAAGATAATGTGTCAAAGATAATGTGTCAAAGATAATGTGTCAAGGATAATGTGTCAAGGATAATGTGTCAAAGGAGGGACATTCAGTGAGGATGTCAGTGTGTTATGGCAGAGGAGATGTCAAAAATGAATTTGCAAGTCCACTGATATAGTGGACTGACAGTGCGACCTGACAGTCCAGGAAAAAGGGTGCTGGGCATTTTTCCATGTGGTATCCATGAGTGAGTCATGTGCATCTGATATGTACACAAGAGAGTAGTCTCCCATTACAATTTCAGAGTGCTCAATAATTATATTTAATGACAGGTTAGAAATGACTAAACTAATTAAATACACAGTACCTGTTTTAACATAATTTTGAGGTAGACCTTTATTCTCAAAGACATTATAATGTCTGAAAGGCAAAATAAACGAGTAGTGCTATGATTCATATTATGTATTAATGGTGCAGTTCATGGGTCTTCTTAAATGACTGTAGTGTAGCAAAGCCTTCATTAGTACAAATTTGAATACAGCTCCCAACTTGAACAATTATTTAAGTATAATAATGTAAGTGCTTTTGTAAGTGTATTTTTTGGGGTCTGAAACGGACTAATCTAATTTAAATTATTCCCTATGGGAACAAATTTGTTCGGTAACGGCACTCGAACAGCCTTCTGGAGCGAATTATGGCCGAAACTCGGGGTACCACTGTAGTATGAAATTCGATTTAGTACAAATTATAAAATGATACTGGACCTTATTTGATATAAGTAAAAATTTGGTTGGTATGAGTCAGCCAGTGCAGATAAACAAGCTGCTGCTAATATCCTGTTATTTTTAAGAAAATAGTGGAAGATGGTGGATACACAGACCAACAAATCTGTAAATATTTCCCATGCTTGGGAAAAATTAAGTGCAAGAAGTGTGGAAACACATTTTGCCTCATTGTACAAATATGCAAGTTATAGCTAAGAAATAACAGATATTAGAAAGTGGCTTGGTTTCCATGACCTGGACTCTACAAATGTTTGTGACTTGCTTGAATCACACTCACAAGAAGGAGCTGTGACTTGACTTCTGCAACCACAAATAGGTGAGTATGGAGACCTTAATTTAGATCAACAATAAAATGTAATAAAGTTTTGTTGTTTAGCTTACAATAAACTTAAATAATAATATAATATAATACAGTTTCTCCTCACTTAATGACAGAGTTTTGTTTCTAAGACCTCATCGGTAAACGAATTTGTCGGTAAGTGAGGAGCACACTATACAGTGGACTTTCGACCAACGTTGGCATCGTCTAACGCTAAATCCGACTAGCAATACTTTTTAACGCAAAAATTTTGCCTCGAATAGCGCTAAAAAACCCGACCAATGCTATTCGTTCCGTTAGAGACGCATCCATTTGTGGCCTGAGCACGCCTCACTTGTCCCGTGGGTGCCAGTGTTTACAAGCTAGCCAGCCACTGCGGTCCCATCCAAACATACAATCGGAACATTTCATATTATCACAGCGTTTGTAGTGATTGCACCTGCAAAATAAGTCACCATGGGCCCCAAGAAAGCTTCTAGTGCCAACCCTACAGCAAAAAGGGTGAGAATTACTATGGAGATGAAGAAAGAGATCATTGCTAAGTATGAAAGTGGAGTGCGTGTCTCCGAGCTGGCCAGGTTGTACACAAAACCCCAATCAATCATCGCTACTATTGTGGACAAGAAAACGGCAATCAAGGAAGCTGTTCTTGCCAAAGGTGCAACTATGTTTTTGAAATTGAGATCGCAAGTGATAGAAGATGTTGAGAGACTGTTATTGGTGTGGATAAACGAAAAACAGATAGCAGGAGATAGCATCTCTCAAGCGATCATATGTGAAAAGGCTAGGAAGTTGCATGACGATTTAATTAAAAAAATGCCAGCAACTAGTGGTGATGTGAGGCTGCCAGTTCGGACCACAAAGCGGCTGAAAAATATGTGCAGGAATTCAATGAGTACATAGACAGTGAAGGACTGAAACTTGAACAAGTGTTTAATTGTGACGAAACAGGCCTGTTTTGGAAGAAAATGCCAAGCAGGACCTACATTACTCAGGAGGAAAAGGCACTCCCAGGACATAAGCTTATGAAAGACAGGCTTACTCTGTTGATGTGTGCCAATGCTAGTGGTGATTGCAAAGTGAAGCCTTTATTGGTGTATCACTCTGAAACTCCCAGAGTGTTCAGGAAAAACAATGTCCTCAAGGCTAATTTGTGTGTGCTGTGGAGGGCAAACAGTAAGGCATGGGTCACTAGGGACTTTTTCTATGACTGGTTACACTATGCATTTGCCCCCACTGTGAAAAATTACCTCCTGGAAAATAAATTGGACCTTAAGTGCCTCCTGGTATTAGACAATGCTCCTGGTCATCCTTCATACTTGGCAGAGCGACTTTCTGCGGACATGAGCTTCATTAAGGTCAAGATTTTGCCTCCTAATACCACTCCTCTCCTGCAGCCCATGGACCAGCAGGTCATTGCAAACTTCAAGAAACTGTACACAAAAGCTATGTTTGAAAAGTGCTTTGTAGTGACCTTAGAAACTCAACTGACTCTAAGAGAGTTTTGGATAGATCACTTTAGCATCCTCAATTGTGTAAACATTATAGGTAAGGCTTGGGAGGAAGTGACTAAGAGGACCTTGAACTCTGCTTGGAAAAAACTGTGGCCAGAATGTGTAGACAAAAGGGATTTTGAAGGGTTTGAGGCTAACTCTGAGAATCCTATGCCAGTTGAGGAATCCATTGTGGCATTGGGGAAGTCCTTGGGGTTGGAGGTTAGTGGGGAGGATGTGGAAGAGTTGGTGGAGGAGGACAATGAAGAACTAACCACTGATGAGCTGATAGATCATCTTCAACAGCAAGAGGCCACACCTGAGGAAACTGCTTCGGAGGAGGGGATAGAGATGTTGAAGAAGTTGCCTACTTCTAAGATTAAGGAAATGTGTGCAATGTGGCTTAAAGTGCAAACCTTTTTTGATGAAAATCACCCTGACACAGCTACTGCAAGCCGTGTTGGCAACCTGTACACTGACAATGTTGTGAAACACTTTAGGAATGTCATAAAGGAACGGGAGGTTCAGGCCTCTATGGACAGATATGTTGTGTGACAGAGGTCCAGTGACTCTCAAGTTGGTCCTAGTGGCATTAAAAGAAGAAGGGGAGTAACCCCGGAAAAGGACTTGCCACCTCCCATCAATCATCACCAGATCTTCAATAAAGGTAAGTGTCATGTAACTGTGCATGTCTTCTTTAGTTTGTGTGTATTAAAATTAATATTTCATGTGGTAAAAATTTTTTTTTTTCAATACTTTGGGGTGTCAGGAACGGATTAATTTGATTTCCATTATTTCTTATGGGGAAAATTAACTCCACTAACAATAATTTCGATTAACGATGAGCTCTCAGGAACGGATTAAATCGTTGGCCGAGGGTCCACTGTACTGGTAGTGGATTTATGTCAACCATCTTTGACATTGTTTTTATGTCACTTCTGCACCATTTATAGCATTTCTGGTATATTTTTAAATGATTATCCAGTAGTGTACTGTATAACATACATATATTATTTAGGTCTGAATACTGGTCAAAGAACTTTTGTTTTTCTTTTTGGGCCACCCTGCCTCGGTGGGATATGGCTGGTTTGTTGAAAGAAAAAGAAGAACTGGTCAAAGAGCCTGTCATAAGTCTGAGCCATCGGTAAATGATTACATCGCTAAGTGAGGAGAGGCTGTATCTTTATTTCTACAAGTGCGTGTACAGGGCATACAGGCCTAGCTGACATCAATGACATACTACTATATAGAAAACCCCTTGTTATGCAGAGCATTTTGGGCAAATTAGGTCAGTTTTGTCCCAGGATGTAACCCACACTGGTCGACTAACACCCAGGTACCCATTTTACCGATGGGTGAACATAGACAACCAGTGTAAAGGGAAAAAAAAAATATATATAAATGGTTATAAATGACCATAATTTTTAAAGGGGTGGACCGGTAAGCCAGCGGAAGGCCTCGGTCAGATGACCAAAAGCTCCAAAGGCGGGTCATCATCTGACTAAGACCCGCGTCAGGAAACATTTGTCCTGTTTCCTGATGAACCGTACCTAACCTAACCTAACCAGTGTAAAGAAACACATCCAATGTTTTTGTGTCTTATAACAGCTGCCAATAGTACGAATTCGATTAATGCGATCATTTAACGTGACTCATCATTCATACTAATCGAGGCTTTGCTATATACATATATAAATTTTTAAGCATAAATCCAATAAATGATAAGACCATTTACTGTGTTAAGGCACATACAATATATTCTGTGTAATAAAACATTATACAACCTCTCCTCACTTAGCAACTTCCTCATTCACTGACAACTCGGACTTACGACAGGCTCTCTGACCAACATGCATACCTAAATAATGTATAGAGCTGATTTCCTCTATAGCTTCTCCTCACTTAATGACGGAGTTCTGTTCTTAAGACCACGTCAGTAAATGAATTCGTCACTAAGTGAGGAGCATACTATAATGGTAGTGGGTTTATGTCAACCATCTTTGATAATGTTTTAATGTCACCTTTGCACCATTTATAACATTTCTGGTATATTTTTAAATGTTTATACAGCAGTGTACTATATACTGTAATAAACAGAATAGAAGAAATCAGCTCTAATATACATTATTTAGGTATGCATACTGGTCAGAGAGCCCGTCGTAAGTCCGAGTAGTTGGTAAATGAATACTTCGCTAAGTGAGGAGAGGCTGTATTCTGTTTATTACAATATACAGTACACTACTGTATAAACATTCAAAAATGTGGCAGAAATGTTATAAATGGTGAAAGGTGACATGAAAACAATATCAAAGATAGTTGACACAAACCCGCTACCATTATAGTATGCTCCTCACTTAGCAAATAATTTGTTTACCGATGTGGTCTTAGGAACGAAACTCTGTCATTAAGTGAGGAGTGACTATATTCTCAAATATATTGGGTAAGTTGGATACTCTCAACTTCACACACAATAGTATGTATCTTCACAACTTAAATTTTAATACAGTGTACTGCATTTCATAAAAATGTAACTTAGTTAAGGTAAAACTATTTATCACCAACTTAAATGTAGCAGAGTTAGCTATAAGTCTCACTAAATTTGAATTCCATGAAATCATGGAATGGATGGGGCCTGATCCCATGGTAAGTGAGTCTTAAAACCCACAGGCCAGTGGATCCCGTGATTTATTTACAATTGTAATATTACGATTTTGTGAGTCATGTTGAATTCCATGTAGAGTATCTACTCTGCTCATTCAGTTAATTTGTCAAAGAGGCTGCCAAAAAGCATCATGTTACTCAAGCAATAAGTTGACCTTTAACTTCATTAGTACAGAGGAAACAGACTTTTTGGTAGCACCAATCAAGCAATTGTTACAAACTTAATGACACTTTTAACTATTATCAATGTTATATTGAGTTATAACTCCAGTATTCAAAGTGACACTATAAAACAAAAGAGTTCATTAAGTGACCAACTTATTCCTAAGTAGCACGTGTTTATCACACGAATAAGCATTACTTCTCATTGGACCTGTACCTAGATAGACTTACCTGCTTATCGTTTTCAATTTTTTTAAAATACCAAGTATGAGAAGTCAGATGCTTCCTCCCTATTTGGTCCTAAAAATTCCTTATGAGAGACTTTTTTTTTGAAAAATTTAAGTCAGTGTGCTGTCTCTGTATTTTGGGAAAAAACTGGGTTTTCCTGAAATTTGAAATCTATTGAATTTGAATCTATTGAAATTTGAAATCTATTGAAATCTATTCAGAGACAATTCTAAATTAAATAATATGTAAAATATTCTGTCTTATCCTGAAAAATTGCCAATTTTCCAAAATTTGAACTCATATATGGAATGTTTGTTTATAACTGGAGAATTCTGAACTTCAGAGATCATTAAAAAATTTAAATTTAATTTACAGCATATACATATTTCGGAAAATTCTGAAAAAGAGAGATTAGTTCTACACTGTAAATACACAAATAAAAGTTTTTTGTGTTTTAAACACAACAGCAGTCTCCCACTGAGGCAAGGCGACCCGAAAAAGAAGAAACGTAAAATGTATACAGGAGAAGGGGTTACTAGCCCCTTGCTCCTGGCATTTTAGTTGCCTCTGGTGACATGAATGACTTATGAAGGAAGGATTCTTTTTCGCCTTCCAATGGAGATTATTATTATTATAATCAGAGGAGGTGGGAGGAAGTGCTAAACTTGTACAGGTCAAACAGTGCATGGGGAATGGGATGATCAAATTCCATCCAAGGAAGTAAATTATCTTTCAGAAGTGATGTGCAAAATAATTTACTATATAAATTATTGAAAAAATGTATAAAAATTTACCTAAAACCATATTACAGTATCAACTGATTGAATGATGGTGATTTTTTTTTTTTGGGTCACCCTACAATGGTGGGAGATGGCTTATGTGGCAAAAAGGAAAAATAATTTTTGTTGGCAAATAATTTTACATATTTTGCAAATTCACGTTTGAACTTTTGATTTTAAACTGGTAATAGCCCCAAGTATCTTGCTTCTGGCTGATGGTGTACTTATTCCTAAATCTTTAAGATCAGTGTCTGAAAGTTCTAAGAAAGCATCCAAGTCTACTTCCTGTTCAAGGAACAACTCAAGGTACTGGTCAAGTGCCAGTTTCTGGAGCACCTCGGAAAGCTGACCTGAACCCAAACTTAGTGTCAGATGAGCAGCGCTGGTCACGTCTGGTTTCTCTGTAACGTTGGGTGTAAGAGTTGCAATGGACCGGGATGATTTTGATGATTTATATGATTTTGATGTCACAGTTTTCACTGAGGAGCCACCTGAGCCTCTGCTGTCCAGGGATGACACAAGAAGATAATTTTCTCCAAGATTCTTCCCATAATTTCTGTTTTGGTTATCACTGTTGTTCTCATTTTGTGATCCATTAGTTTGTAGTATAGATCCCAGACTTTTAGCTTCACCTGAAATACATTAATTTAGTTAATTAAATGCTGTCTCTGCATAAATCAATAGTATGTATATGTTGTATTTTGCGGCTTATAAGGCTTGTTTTAGTTTCAGTGGCTCTGCATCAGACGTAACTGGGAGAGCTACAGCCCACCCCACACCCCAAACTTATAGCTCCCATCACTGACCTTCAATTTACAGGATGCAGGGTAGTTTTTGGAGACATATTATAGGGAAAAAATGCATATAATAAGCCACAAAATATGGTATGTATGTGTGCTCATGTGTGTATGTGTGCATATGTATGTATGTGTGTGTGTGTGTGTGTGTGTGTGTGTGTGTGTGTGTGTGTGTGTGTGTGTGTGTGTGTGTGTGTGTGTGTGTGTGTGTGTGTGTGTGTGTGTATGTGTGTGTGTGCATTCAGGTACATACATACATTAGAACCCACATATTCGCGGATTCCGTTTCCATGGTTTCAATTATAATACAAATGTATTATACCATAATACGTTTGAATTATGGTATAACACAAATGTGTAATACGTTTAGTAGGAAGTAAGTTGGTAGACAGCAACCATTCGAGGAGGTACTATCGCCCTACCAAGTGAGTGTTAAAAGGAAGCCTGTATTTGTTTTACATGATGGTAAGATTGCTGGTGTCTTTTTTCTGTCTCAAAAACATGCAAAATTTCAGGTACGTCTTGCTACTTACACTTAGGTCACACTACACATACATATACATGTTTATGTATACACATTCATCTGAGTTTTCCTTGATTTTATCTTAATAGTTCTTGATCTTATTACTTTTCCTTTCATATCCATGGGGAAGAGGAATAAGAATCTTTCCTCCGTAAGCCATGTGTATTGTGAAAGTCAACTAAAATGCCAGGAGCAATGGGCTAGTAACTCCTTTTCCTGTATAGCTTACTAGAAAGAAAAAGAAGAAAACCATCAAAGTGGGATGTTTGTATGTGTGTGGATGTTGTGTGAATGATAAGAAAGAGATTGTGGATGTTATGAATGAAAAGAAGCTGGATGTCCTGGCTTTAAGTGAAACAAAGCTGAAGGGGATAGAAGAGTTTCTGTGGGGAGAAATAATGGGATTAGGTCAGGGGTTTCTAATAGAGTTAGAGGTAAGGAAGGAGTAGCAATAAAGCTGAAGGATAAGTTATGGCAGGAAAGGAGGGAATATAAATGTATAAATTCAAGGATTATCTGGAGTAAAATAAGGGTTGGATGTGAAAAGTGGGTTATAGTGTTTATGCACCTGGAGAAGAGAGAAGTGTAGAGGAGAGAGAGAGATTTGGGGAAATGTTGAGTGAGTGCATGGGGAGTTTTGAACCAAGTGAGAGAGTACCTGTGGTTGGAGATCTCAATGCTAAAGTGGGTAAAAATGTTGTGGAAGGAGTAGTAGGTAAATTTGGGGTGCCAAGGGTAAATGAAAATGGGAACCATTCATTGAGCTATGTGTAGAAAGATATTTGGTAATAAGTAATACATATTTTATGAAAAAGAGAATAAATAAGTATACAAGGTATGATATAGCATGTAATGAAAGTAGTTTGTTAGATTATGTATGGGTGGATAAAAGGTTGATAGGTAGGCTTCAGGATGTACATGTTTATAGAGGGGCAACTGATATATCGGATCATTATTAAGTTGTAGCTACAGTTAGAGCAAGAGGTAGATGGGACAAAAGGAAAAGGGCATCAGAAAGTAAGAAAGTGAAAGTTTATAAACTAAGGGAAGAGGAAATTAGGGTGAGATATAAGCAACTATTGGCAGAAAGGTGGGTTAATGCAAATATGGGTAGTGGGGGAAGGGTTGAATAGGGATGGGATAGTTTTAAAAATGTAGTGTTGGAATATGGGCAGAAGTTTGTGGCTGTAGGAGGAAAGAGGAGTGATTGGTGGAATGACAAAGTAAAGGGTGTGATAAAAGAGAAAAAGGTAGCTTATGATAGCATTTTACAAAGCAGAAGTGATATAAGAAGGGCAGGGTATATGGGGAGTAAAAGAAAGGTGAAGAGAGTGGTGAAAGAGTGCAAAAGAAGAGCAAATGATAGAGTGGGAAGAGGCACTGTCAAGAAATTTTGCAGAGAATAAGAAAATTTTTTGGAAATAAACAAGTTAAGATAGCCTAGAAAACGAATGGATTAGTCAGTTAAAAACAGAGTAGGGGAGTTAGTAGATGGGGAGCTGGAGGTATTGGGTAGATGGCAGGAAATTTTGAGGAACTTTTAAATGTTGATGAAGAAAGGGAGGCAGTAATTTCATGCGCTGGCCAGGGAGATATGAAATCTTTTAGAAGTGAAGAAGAGCAGGATATGAGTGTAGGGAAGGTTCGTGAGGTACTGCAGCTGGAACTGACACGATCATGACAGAAATGTTAAAAGCAGGGGGGATGGGATATAGTGTTGGAGTGATTGGTATTTTTAATAAATGTATGAAAGAGGGGAAGATACCTAAGGATTGACAGAGAGCATGTATAGTTCCTTTATATAAAAGGAAGGGGGACAAAAGAGATAGTAAAAATTATAGGAGAATAAGTTTAAGGGGTATATCAGGTAAAGTGTACGGTAGGGTTATTACTGAAAGAATTAGAGGCAAGACAGAGAGCAGGATTGCAGATGAGCAAGGAAGTTTTAGAGTGGGTAGGGGATGTGTAGATCAAGTGTTTATATTGAAGCACATATGTGAACAGTATTTAGATAAAAGTAGAGAAGTTTTCATTACATTTATGGGGAATCAAATACAAAATGGGAGTTGACACAGTTACTTCTTGCTGATGATACTGTGCTTTTGGGAGATTCTAAAGAAAAGTTACAAATGTTGGTACACGAGTTTGGGAGGTTGTGTAAAGGTACAAAGTTGAAAGTGAACATAGATAAGAGTAAGGTGATGAGGGTATCAAATGATTTAGATAAAGAAGAATTGGATCACGCTGGGGAGAGGGAGTATGGAAGAAGTGAATGTTTTCAGATATTTGAGAGCTGAGTTGTTAGAGGATGGGTTTATGAAGAATGAGGTTAACCATAGAACGGATGAAAGAAAAAAGGTGCGTTGAGGTATCTGTGGAGACAAAAAACGTTATCCATGAAGGCAAAGAAGGGAATGTACAAAAGTATAGTGGTACCAACACTCTTATATGGGTTGTAAATGCTGCAGCAAGAAGGCAGCTGGAGGCAGTGGTGTCCTGTTTAAGGGAAATGTGTGGTGTAAATATTATGCAGAGAATTTGTAGTGTGGAAATTAGGAGGTGTGGAGTTACTAAAAGTATTAGTTAGAGGGATAAAGAGGGGCTGTTGAGGTGGTTTGGTCATTTAGAGAGAATGGAACAAAGTAGAATGACTTGGAGAACGTATAAATCTGTAGGGGGAGGTCACCCTCGAAAAAGTTCGAGGGAAGGGGTATTTGAGGTTTTGCGGCCGAGGGGATTGGATTTCCAGCAAGCATGCGTGAGCACGTTAGAAAGGAGTGAATGGAGATGAATGGTTTTTGGGACCTGACAAGCTGTTGGAGTGTGAGCAGGGTAATATTTTGTGAAGGGATTTAGGGAAATTGGTTAGCTGGACTTAAGTCCTAGAAATGGGAAGTACAATGCCTGCACTTTAAAGGAGTTAAAGGAGGGGTCTGGGATATTGGGAGTTTGGAGTGACTATAATAATAATATCTTTATTTACCTAGGCAGTAGGTTGGTAGACAGCAACCACCCAGGGAGGTACTACCGTCCTGCCAAGTGATTGTAAAATAGAAGCCTGTAATTGTTTTACATGATGGTAGGATTGCTGGTGTCTTTTTTCTGTTTCATAAACATGCAAGATCACAGGTACGTCTTGCTACTTCTACTTACACTTAGGTCACACTACACATACATGTACAAGCATATATATAAACACCCCTCTGGGTTTTCTGCTATTTTCTCTCTAGTTCTTGTTCTTGTTTATTTCCTCTTATCTCCATGGGGAAGTGGAACAGAATTCTTCCTCCATAAGCCATGCGTGTTGTAAGAGGCGACTAAAATGCAGGGGGCATTTTAGTCATATAAATTACTAAATTTAAAAAGAGAAACTTTTGTTTTTCTTTTTGGGCCACCCTGCCTTGGTGGGATATGGCTGGTTTGTTAGAAAAAAAAATGTACAAGGTATACAGGCCTAGCTGACATCAATGACATACTACTATATAGAAAACCCATTGTTATGCAGAGCATTTCGAGCAAATTAGGTAAGTTTTTTCCCAGGGTGTGACCCACACCAGTCAACTAACTCCCAGGTACCCATTTTACTGATAGGTGAACATAGACAACCGGTGTAAAGAAACATGTCCAATGCTTCCACCCCTTCGCCAGAAATCAAACCTGGACCCTCACTGTGTGAAGCGAAAGCTTTTACCACCAGGCGCCTCTGCAAAGACTGATTGTATATGAGTGATAGTGAAAGTGTTGAATTATAATGAAAGTTTTTTCTTTCTTTTTGGGTTTTTCTTTCTTTTTGGGTTTTTCTTTCTTGTGGGTCACTCTGCCTTGGTGGGAAACAGCCGATGTGTTAAAAAAAAAATGTAAATTACATTTTGTATACTGCAGGAAGAAATAAAATTGTTTGTCTGTTGTTTCCAGAGACATACTGACCTTGCTGGTGGCTATCAATTTTAATTCAGCCACCAAATTTACAGTAATAAGGATTTTTGTACTCCTGCATCAAAGACCACTCTGGATACTTGGGACATCTTTCTGGTCACAACCCCTGCAATGATTACAGCTAAAGCGACATTACCTCTGATCCTCCCACTCTTATGAGTGACCTTGTCAATGCTCATTATGTCTGCTAATACCTCAGACTCTGACTCACTCTTTCACTTACCTTGAGCTGTGGTCCCACTAGCCTGGGCTTCTTTGGATTATTGTAATACAAACTGAGAGTTAATTCATAGATTACACCTTGACTTCAACTTGAAATTTAACACCATTAAGCACATAACTAAAAAGGTCTCCAAAAGAGAAGGCATTGTCTCAAAGATAAGTTACTGTGTACCTCAAACAGCAGTACTTACATTGTACCACTTTCTAATCTATCCTTACCTCACCTATTGTATTTGTGCCTGGGGATCTACTATGTTAAATCACCTAAAAACAATAATAACTCAACAAAAACTGCTGAGTGAATGATTACCCATTCCAGTGCCAGAAAATGCAATCCCCCCACTCTTCAAAACCTTGAATTTACTTAATATACACAATATGCACTCATATTGCTCTGCCAGCTATATATATAGGACAATCAATACCAGTATAAACCCTTCTCTGAAACTTTTCCCTGATAGCTGCAACAGAACACGCTGGCATAACACAAGTCGCAAACCTCTTTGACATCCCCCATGTCTGACTCAACTTGTGTAAAAACTCATTACACATAAGACCCTAAGATCTGAATTTCTCTGCCTGAAGCAGCAAAAAGGTTCCCTATCTGCTTATAGATTCAGAACCACTTTTAAAAAGCACATCATCACCTTAATGTAATCGAGACAGCAATAAGCTATGTCAGACAAGACCAGCTGTCATCCAATTCTATCCTTATTCTTCTTCCAGTCTTCCTTCAACTCTCATACATAACTGATAACATATCTTGTTCTGTTTTATATATTGTAACTAAGTAACTTGCTTTATCTTTACCATCTTTATTCAGTCACTCCAAAAAACTAAAGATCACTGAATCAGTTTAAATAATATGTAATACTTTTGTAATTGACTTTTTGACCAGCAGTGAGAGGCAAGACTCTCACCACTGGGGTCTGGGGTTCGAGACCCGGACGAACTACTAAAAAAAAAAATACTACTGTCCTTAGCTGTCTTTTTTATTGTACTTATGATTGTAGTTAACTACCCAAGACAATAGTCTATGTCTAGTTCTTAATTAACATATAAGCCTTATGATTAGTTCCCTGAAATGCACTGCATAATTAGTGGCTTTCTTATGTGCCTTCCACTGTACTAATACATTTAAACTACACTGTTTACATGGCATGAAGAAATAAACATTATTAATATTTTTTTAACAAAGTGGCTGTCTCCTAGAGGCTTACTGCACATATTTTTATGGTATAAAACTCTTTTCTAGGTTAATAATGATATGATCTAAAATAACCTCTAGACCTCTATTAATAAAAGGCAGCAATTATGCAAAAACCTGGTAATACACAGAATCTGATGATTTCAGAAGGGGTGCTTATGGCCCCTCACATTTTAACAGGTCAAAGAAGCCACTGTGGATTAAAGAGGCTTGAGATGGGTACTTGTGTGTCTGTGTCATTGACCAAAGAACATAACATGCCATCCTTTGGAACTTACAAAGTTCAGATCGAAGGGGACTATACAGGTTAGCTTTCATTTTGCCGCAAATACATTTGTACCCAGTATGACAAGAGGCAGCAAGGTGGAGAGCCAATGAAAAGTGAAGGGTCTGAATATGTGCCAACTGTGGAGAGGGAAGAAAATCACCCAAGTGATATGCACTCAACTAAGAGGCAGACTCCTCCTTTTGGAGCATACACCTAAAATAGCTGCAGAAGTCTTTCCCACAATGGGGCTGTCCCAACTGGAATATTTGTGGGCAGTAATTTCAGCTGATCATGTGTATCCCACCTGCTGTGCCACTAGGGTAACTGGGGTTATTCATCCTTGCCTAATTTTGAATAGGTTCTAATAGAATTTCTTCAATCACTTTGTTGAATCCTCTGAAAGAAGATTATAAAGCTGGCAATGCAATATGAAATGCCATACAAACTCCACCTAATCTGACATGTTTCCACTGAGATTCCCCTAAGAAAAAGTTTACACATACAGTGTACCTTGAGTTATGAGCAGCTCCCAATTTAAACAATTAAGTGTATTTTTGTAAGTGCTTCTGTAAGTGTATTTTTGGGGGCCTGAAACAGATTAATCTAATTTTCGTTATTCCTTATGGGAACAAATTGGTTCGGTATCAGCATTCGAACAGCCTTCTGGAACAAATTAAGCTCATAACTCAAGGTACCACTGTATTTATATTTACTGAAATTTCAATGAATTGCTCGCGCTACTTTTGTGACACTATTAGAAATAATAAAATCAGACAAATTAAAATTTTTAAGAGAAATAAGAAGGCATTAAAGATAAAGAGTTGGATGATTACTTTTTGAGACTTACCTGAGGACTGGGGGCTGGGACCTGATAATGATGATCCAGGTGAAAACCCTCCACCTCCCATACTCCACTTTAAAAGTTTGGAATTTGTAGCATGGCGAGGTGGTTGTACAGGACCTCCTGGTATAATTTTGCGACCTGGAGGCATGGCTTTAGACACAAATCCTGGCTTTCCTCCAGTTGGGGAAATATGTGGTGGAACCATACTTTTCATAGTTTCTGTCACATGGATGCTACCAGCTCCAAAATCCTAGAATGGAGATTTAATGTTATGTATTACGTAATGTGAGTCATCTGAGTTGCTGTAACAAAAGTACAATAATTTAAAGCAGAATTTATACATAACCTATAAGTTTTAATACAGGAAGTTCCTGTTTATACAGCAGATTAGGTTCCAGGCTACTTTTGTAAAGCAAAAATTGCTATAAAATGAAACGGCCTTTTTTCACTTTCAAATGCATATAAAAGCCTTATATCATGTTTACAATATCATAAAATAAGTAAGCAACAGACCTAGGCCTAAAAAATGAATATATGGTACACACATTAATTACCTTAAAATATTTTTGTCCTTAGCTTACAGTGAGTGGTGAATATATTTATTGCATGAAGTCTGAATAAACGAAGAATGGGTGTAATTGAAAAACCATTGCATTAGGGAAATGCCGTAAAGCAAAGCACTGGCAATTTGCCCTTCTGTGCACCAAGACAATTAACATCATTACTGTGTTATTTTTTCTTCTTCTCTATAGCAGGAATAATATGAGGGAAGTGTGCACCAGGCTTCAGCCAAAATGAATCACTTTCACTGCCATGATGACTGAGCCTTCGCCTGGTATTTTTCCATTATGTCTTGTGGCATGCAAAGAGTACATAACCTTTATTCGGTGCATGTAAACACCCTCATTAACAGGCTATCTCCCCCAACCAGCAAACCAGGGGCTAAGGGTTGATGATGTGGCCCCGTCTTTTAATCAGTACCCAGGTTCCAGCCAATGAGAAGATAGTTTTGGCAATCGCAGAGGTGATGTGGGTACCACTCACCTGTCTGCCCTTGTCATTCCCATTCTAGAGCTGGTTGAAGCATGGTCTGCTCTCTAGTGACTTCTATTCTGCCTTGCTTACCGTGGAGTGCACTAATACTTATTGTTGTACATAAGTGTATATAGTGTCCATACTTCTTTTCTAAATTGGTGAAGGATAATATAAGTCAAAAGTTTTTCTGCTGTGTTTATTTTGCTCCCTTTACACCCAGGATAACAGGCCTTTGGGACTCCTGGGTTATAATATGGGTAGCCTGTCCGAGAGCTGGAGCTGGACTTAGAGCATGGGTTGAGCCTAGGGTGATGCTGGAAGCAGGAACATTGTGTAGCTTGCTGTCTGGCCTTACGAACTTTGCGTGTCAATTGCCTTGCTATGGTCAGCCTTGCTATTGTATGATTGTTCAATAGCTTGCTACTAGCTTGTTCGAAGTGCTCGCTTCACTATGGTCAATCTTGTGTGAAGATTTTGCAGTCAGCTTTGCTATTGTGTATCCACCTTGTAAGCGTATGCGTATTCTGCAATCGTACTGAGCATAGCTAAGCGTGTTCTACAAATAACGTGTTACGTTGGGGTATTCTGCAATCGTACTGTGCATAGCTAAGCATGTTCTGCAAATAACGTGTTATGCTGGGGTATTCTGCAATCGTACTGTGCAGAGCAAATAACTTATACAATGGGGTATGCCACCTAGACGAGTCAGACGTCTGGTGTTGGCATTTACTTTATTTAACTTGCCTAAATTGTCCCTACAGCGTTGTTGGCAAATTGCTCGTTCCACTGGCATTGATTATGAACACACTCTCACAGCTGCACAACTGCGTTCACTGATCACTGGCAAACTTCGGGAAGAGGAGATGGCACATCAGACTCCTCCCTCTATGGGAGCCAGGAATGAAACTCCGATGTTCTCGCAGGAGGAAGATGATACATCAATGGAGCAAAATCGTCAGTCTAGTGCAGCAGGGTTGTCTCAAGGCGAATCAGCGGCACTGGCACTTGAGCTGGCAAAAATCAATCTTGAGCAGACTAGGGAACAGAGGGCACTTGCCAAGGAAGAAAAAGAAAGAAGGCAGTTTTTGCAACTTGTAAATGACTTTAGTTTACAGCTTGTTCCCCGCTTCAATGAGGCCGAACCAGAACAATTTTTCAAAGCTTTTGAAAATCAGGCTCGAGCCTTGAGGTAGCCGGAACAGCACTGGGAGTCGTTGGTTCACACAGCATTGTTTGGTAAAGCACAGGAATTTACGTCAGTGCTAAATGACACTGATTTTTCCGATTATAAAGTAGTGAAGACCACAGTTTTGGGAGCATATACATGTATCCCAGCTAAATACACAAAGATCTTTAAGTTAGGCAGACAACAGCTTGGTCAGTCCCTGGTTGATTTTGTGTGACAGCAGACCAAAGCTTTTACCAGCTGGTATAAAGCAAGTGGTGTTGCTACCCTCGATGATCTTGTGCAGCTTATTCTGGTTGACAACCTGCTGGAGTCTGTGGGACCAGAGGTTAGAGTCTTTCTGCAGGATTGTGACTTAACCACTGCATTGGAGGCAGCCAGGTTGGCTGATACCTTTGAAACTAACCACTCCTCATTCGAGCGGTCCCATCTCTCTTTTCAACAGCCTGGCATGAGCAGAGATTGTCAACCTTGGAGGATGAAGTGCCAGCCGGAGGGAGAATGTCTACGTCAGCCAACTAAGTCACCTGGTGAGCCATGCTTCTCAACTTATGGTCCACCTGGTGAGAGACAAACCACTCAACATGGTGTAACTCGACAACAGTATCCAGAGAGACACCAGCCAGAGTGACACCAGTTGCAATGTCAGCAGGGAGTAAAGGGCAAGCCTGTCATCTGCTTCCTCTGTAACAAAGTAGGTCACATCTGTCCCAACTGCCCCCACAAACCCCAACCTATTGGGAAAATCTATAATATCCCTAGTAACATGTCCCTGAAAGAAGTAGAGAAAGGGATGGCCCCTTATTACTGTCAGAGTCTTATTTCCCTTCAGGAAAACTCAAACACAACTGAAGTCAGAACCTTTAGAGATACTGGAGCATATTGCTCACTTATAAGAGAGGGAATATTACCCCTTTCAAAGAACACCTCCTTAAATTCCTCTGTTTTGTTGGAAGCATTTGGACGAGCTATATTTTCTGTCCCCTTGCATAGAATTTATGTACAGTGCAACTATTACACTGGATACTTGACTGTGGGTGTATCCGAGGGATTCCCCATAAAAGATGCCATGTTATTACTGGGTAAAATGAAGTGAGTTATAGAATAAATGAGGGAGGAAAAGATGAGACATTTGTTGAGGCATCTGTGGAAGGATAATGGAAAAAAAAAAAAAAATGTACTAGAGTATAGTGATATCACTACTTTTATATGAGTGTGACGCATAGGTTTTGAAAACTGTAGTGAGGTGCCTAAAGGCAGCCGAGATGTCATGTTGGAGGAGAACATATAATATGAATCAGGAAATCATAACATGATTGCAAACAAACCAATGACCTGGAGTTTTATGACTCACTTGCCATGGGTTCAAACCCCACCTTTTGTAAGTGTAATATCTTATGAATATCATGCATAGAATTGCGAACATAAAAATAAAAATGCTATCTGGGGTCACCAAGGGTATAATTCAGAGATGATGGAAAGGATGGAGAGGAATAGGTTGACATAGCATGTGTATAAATCTGGGATGGAAGATAGGAGTGGAAGGGGTCATCCCAGGAATGGCTGGAGGGACAGGATAAAGAAGGCTTGGAGTTTTAGGGGCTTGAGCATCCTGCAGGCTGGTGTGAGTTTGTTAGGAGTGAATAGATTCTTAATGGGCATGCTGCTGGAGTGTGAGCTACGAAACATTTATGAAAGAATTCAGGGAAACCTGAGTCCTGAAGGCAGGAAAGGCAGTGTCTGCACTCTGAAGGAGAGGTTGAGATGTTTCAGTCAGAGGTTAATTTGAGCTGTGTGTCAGCACACTTCTGGAAAAAGAGCAACTGAATGACTGTTGGTGAAAGTATTTCCTTTTATGGGTCACCTTGCCTTGAGGGGAGACAGCTCTTAAGTAAAATATTATATGCATATGTATGTGTGAATGTATATGCATGCATGTATGTACTATATGAAAGAATGCATATGCTTGTATATACTGTATATATATATATGTATGCATTTTTTGTTTAACAAACCAGCCATATCCCACCAAGGCGGGGTGGCCCAAAAAGAAAAACGAAAGTTTCTCTTTTTAAATTTAGTAACTTATACAGGAGAAGAGGTTACTAGCCCCTTGCTCTCGGCATTTTAGTCGCCTCTTACAACACGCATGGCTTATGGAGGAAGAATTCTGTTCCACTTCCCCATGGAGATAAGAGAAAATAAACAAGAACAAGAACTAGAAAGAAAATAGAAGAAAACCCAGAGGGGTGTGTATTGTATGCTTGTACATGTATGTGTAGTGTGATCTAAGTGTAAGGAGAAGTAGCAAGACATACCTGAAATCTTGCATGCTTATGAGTCAGAAAAAAGACACCAGCAATCCTACCATCATGTAAAACAATTACAGGTTTCCATTTTACACTCACTTGGCAGGACGGTAGTACCTCCCTAGGTGGTTGCTGTCTACCAACCTACTACCTAGGATATGTATGCATATGTATAAATATCCTAGGTAGTAGGTTGGTAGACAGCAACCGCCCAGGGAGGTACTACCGTCCTGCCAAGTGAGTGTAAAACGAAAGCCTGTAATTGTTTTACATGATGGTAGGATTGCTGGTGTCCTTTTTTCTGTCTCATAAACATGCAAGATTTCAGGTACGTCTTGCTACTTCTACTTACACTTAGGTCACACTACACATACATGTACAAGCATATATATACACACCCCTCTGGGTTTTCTTCTATTTTCTTTCTAGTTCTTGTTCTTGTTTATTTCCTCTTATCTCCATGGGGAAGTGGAACAGAATTCTTCCTCCGTAAGCCATGCGTGTTGTAAGAGGCGACTAAAATGCTGGGAGCAAGGGGCTAGTAACCTCTTCTCCTGTATATATTACTAAATTTGAAAGGAGAAACTTTCGTTTTTCCTTTTGGGCCACCCCGCCTCAGTGGGATACGGCCGGTGTGTTGAAAGAAAGAAAAGAAGATGTATGAATATACGTATGTATGAAAAATACCACAGTGAAAATAGGAAATAAAGCCTAAGTGCT